CGCTTAAAATCCTGAAGGATTTATGTGAAGCTGTGAAAGTCTAAGCAAACTTATATATACTTGAGGAAGAAGCTGTCTGGTTCTCAAGACTGGGAATTGAAGCCACGGTTAGGTTAAGCCCTATAGATGTGGCAGAGAAGCCAATTCTGTCTGCTATGACTACTGTAAATGAGTGCTCTTGCAACTAATGGTATTGTATTTAACCATGTTTTAAATCTTTGCATTTAACGCAAATTCAATTCGTTTTTTTATTCTACTTTTCTTCATTTGAGTAATAAACTTAAACCAAATCTGTAGCATTGTATGCTTCACATTCAGTAAAGGGCCACCTTGTTAAAATCAAAAACAAAGTGAAATTTCAGTCTGGGAGCAGTCAGGTCCAATAATAATGATTTGGATTAGTCATAATTGACATGCTTGTGGATTCTGCTCGAGAAAGAACTTATTTGGTTTGGAAACTACTTTAGTGTTACAGAGTTGTTAAGATAAATATTTCTGGATGGACAAGTGGAGTAATTTATTTTCAGTGAGTCTGGTCTAATATGAATAACTGTATAATACAATTGGCAGCGAATGTTGTTTTGGTAAATTGTGCTTTGTGCTGACTGTAGTTTCCTGCAAAGAAGAATGCTGAGCTTAGAAAATAAAAAGATCTTGTTCACAGAAATGGTAAAAATCAATGAAAAACCCAAGCCAATTTGAGAACAAAATTTAAAAATTTGAAGTTAGTCCCAGAGTCAATTTTCACCTTCATTTATCATACAGGGTACCACCCATGTACGAGGTGATCTCCACACCAGTCAGAAACTGGTCCAGATCTCTCTTGAAGTTATATAAGAGAATGTTTGTCACATGAGCTGGAGCTCTGTTTGACGGGTCTGATGTTCAGCAACCACCTAAATTCTTGCACAATTTGTAAGTGTGACCCTGGTGTTCCCTCGCACAGAGTTAAAATAATTGGTCTGCACAACACAATCCAACTTTCCAGTATTGTTTATACTTCCATTGAATTGCCTATGAGCAAATGCTTCTCTGAAATAATACAAACTGAGCTCTGCTAAGCCTATCTGAGTGGCTAAGGGATCCAACACCAGCTCAAGGCAACAAAGTCAGCCCACTCCTGGAGAACAGATAATAATTCATAAAAAAATTGTGGATTAATTTTAGTTATAATTCAGAATTTGCTGGAAGAAAGAATCTGTGGGGCTTTCCTAAGCAAGAGTCAAGTTATTTATTTTTTGAACAATTTTTCTCATGCACAGTATGATTGAGATGTCACCGTTCTAAAGTTCAGATTTTTTTATTTTAACCTAATTTGTATAACGTGCTTTGTTTTATTAACATGAATCCTTTCTCTCCAAATTTAAATGTAAACAAGTGTTTTGTCACTAATGTGGTAGTGTGAGTTATCTTAAATATTGTAATGTAGAAGAATTTGAAGTCATGATAAAAGGTTCATGCTTCCTGGGAAAGCTTCCTGATGTACATATTGAGTTTTTTGTACGAATTTCTCTGTATCCCATTTAACTTGCGTGATAAAAGTGATGAGAATCTCAGAATAAGTGAATGGAGTAACAGTGTTTTTAATTATTTCACCTAAGTGTTTGATTATGTAGATTGTTATTTTTAAAACTCTGGAGTTGAATTATTAATGCTTGTTTGTTCCATAGGCTTTCAATAAAACCAAAATCTGAAGAGAACCAAAGAGCATGAGGATTTTTGTTGAAGAAAACTTCATTAGTTGTATCTTGTAACATTTGGTGGATTGTTGGACATTTCAATCAAATTAATTGAACATTTTTCATAATGAAGCATAACTCATTTTTTCTCAAACACAATTTGTTAATGTTGTGTTGCTAATGAGCTTTTTAAATTTGGGCAGACAGTAACAATCTTTGTGTACACTCATCTCCATGAACAAAGTTTGAGTGATCAAATAGTAAAAACAATTGTAAGAATAAAGTATACATTGAAATGCTGCCTTTAAAAGTTAAATATTCTCATTGAAGTGTACATTTTCATATTAGAGCTTTAAGTAGCATAAGGGTAAGACCTATAATTGTGAATTTAATCCAGTTGTATCAGAGAGCAGACGACTCAAGGCTCATAGTCATTGAGTTATTCAGCCTGAAAGCAGACCCTTCAGTCCAACTCATCCATGCCAACCAGGTATCTAAACTGATCTCGTTCCATTTGCCAGCAATTTGGCCATATCTTCTAAACCCTTCCTATTCACGTACCCATCCAGATGCCTTTTAAATTTTGTAATTAGACCTGCCTCCTCCACCACTTCCTCTAGCAGTTCAGTCAATACAAGCACCACCCTCTGCCTGAAAAAGTTGCCCCTCAGGTCTCTTTTAAATTTTTTCCCTTTCTCCTTAAACCTATGCCGTCTAGTTCTGGATTCCCCTACCCTGGGAAAAAGACCTTGGCTATTTACCCTATCCATGCACCTCATGATTTCATAAACCTCTATAAGGTCAGCCCTTAGCTTCTGATTGTTCAAGAGAAAAAGCCCCGTCCTATTCAGCCTCTCCCTGTACTCTTTACTCAGAGAGTAGTAAGGGCGTGGAATGCCCTGCCTGCAAAAATAGTAGACTCACCCACTTTAAGGGCATTTAAATGGTCTTTGGATAAACATATGGATGATAATGGAATAGTTTAGGTTAGATGGGCTTCAGATTGGTTTCACAGGTCGGCGCAACATCGAGGGCCGAAGGGCCTGTACTGTGCTGTAATGTTCTATGTTCTATATGTAGCTCAAAGCTTCCAACTCTGGCAAAATACTTGTAAATCTTTTCTGAATCCTTGGAAGTTTAACAACAACTTTGCAAGAGCAGGGAGACCAGAATTGAACACAGTATTCTAAAAGTGGCCGAATTAACATCCTGTACAGCCACAACATGAGAACCCAACTCCTATACTCGATGCACTGATCAATAATGCCAAGTGCACCATACCAATGAAGGCAAGCGTACCAAACGCCACCTTCACTACCCTGTCTACCTGTAACTCCACTTTCAAGGAACTATGCACCTGCACCCCTAGGTCCCTTTGTTTGGCAACACTCCCCAGGGTCTGTCATTAACTGTATAAGGCCTGCTCTGATTTGTCTTAACAAAATGCAGCACCTCACATTTATCTAAATTAAACTCCATCTATTATGGAGTTTTACAACAGGACAGAGAAAATATTGAAAGATAGCACGGTTTAGAATAATCAAGGATTGACGATAGTTCAGAAAATTGGAAGCTTTTATGCAGTTCATAGAAAACCTGACTGACATTAGGTGTAAGTATAGTTTCTCCCAGAAAACCTGGATGTTCAGAGCAGTTAATGGAATAATTTACCTCTATAGTTTGTGTAAACTCCCAAACCAGGAGTGTTTGCTAATAAATCTGCAATGGTTGCTCAAAGCTGAGAAAGTGTAAGGTCAGTTGTATGACTTTTCAAAAAAAAAGGCTTTGGATGTGTCTCAGGACTGGAACTGAAAATAAGTGATTAAATCAAACCTTTAGATTTGATAGGGACAGAAAATTCTTCTGGTTTTTAAGTAACTGTGTTGAGGAGTTATGGGATTTTGTTTTACCACGTGTTTCAAAATCTTTCAAACTGTTGCATGTAGGTAGCTTGGTTTGCTTTATTTTTTCTTTCTTTTACATAGTAAACTTCTGTTTTATTGTTGAAACCAAATCTGTGTTTTGTGTTCTTATGTTTGTGAAAGACTGCCTCATTAAATTAGACAAACAACAAGATATGATTTTTCAAGCCACATTTCATGCCAGGAATTTGACTTGTTCAGCAGTAACACCAGTTGGGATCATAACAATATGCAGTAGTTTAGTATGTGTTTTATATTTCGCTTTCCTGTCAATGTGAGCAGATACTACTTGTATTAAACAGCAGAGAATTGATACAACTTATGAAACTGTATACAAAACGATAAACTGATGTCTCTTCTCTTCAATTAGACGAAAATCATCATTGGGCACAGCCAGTCTTTATCCCCCAAGTTTCTACCTGATAACATAACTAGTTTCTAAAGCGTTATTTAAAAAATCCAAAATGAGAAAATGTTTTCATGTCTTCTAAAAAAATGATATTAGTTCCGTGAAATGTGCATTTTTAAAGTGAGCAACCAAAGCCTGAAATTTTCCACTTTGAAATTGAAGTATGACAATGATTGAGCCCACTGTAGAAGGAGCGAGCCCAATGCAGTGGTGAGGGAGGTCCCCTGGCATCTGCAGCAGCAAGAGGAGGTAGCTTGAGGTCTCCCAGAGAGCGGGCCAAAGCAGAGGAGATCGAGCCCTTTTAGGGAGTGCGATCTCGCATGGCTAAGCACTTAAGAAAGACAGATGAACCTTTAACTTTATTTCTTTACAGTCCCTCTTAGTATAAAGTAGTAAAGTAATGTTTAACGTTTAAATTTTTTCTTTATTGTTCTACTTTGTACCTAAGATTTTGTACCTGGGTACCTTTTTAAGCCTAAGATGGCACCAGGAATGGCAATAATTTACACTTTTCACTGTACTCATGTACTTCTGTACTTGAGTACACGTGACAATAAAATCTAATTCTAATTCTAAAAAGTAACAGAGAGAAATTCCATCCTGTTCTTGGGTGATGACACCAGGAGGTCATCCCTTCAGATTTATCCTGCCTAGGAGCAGATTGCAGGGTACAAGAAAATGAATGATATTCGATGTGCCACAAGGGTGAGTGACACCGTCGTCTTCTTGCTCCTTCACACAGGGGCATCACTCAGTCTTACTTTGCCACTGCAAAGGCATCTCACTAAGGATCACAACTTGTAAGCCTCACCACTACATGCATGTTGTGCACTCAAGGAGTGATATCTCATCCTCTTAAACGACTAACCTTTCCTGCCCACTGCACGTCCTGTTCACTGAGTACATCTCACCACCTGACAAGGTTATACATGTTCACAACTGTTCCAGCTCCTGTTCCCATCACACTCAATTCTCTTTATCTCATTACAGGAGAAGTCGGTGCACAGCCATGCTAAGAGGGCCAAGACCAGTACGGGTCCTGCCAAATAAGAAATCTTCACCCACTTAAAGGAAAGACCCATCAAGCTGACCAGGGATGACTGGGACAGTTTCTGTGAAGACAGGGAAATGTAAATAGACCAATAGCCCAGTAAGCAACATTGTACTGTGCTATTCTCTGGTGAGCACAAAAACAAACACGTTGACCTGCATTAGCTATTCTGCATCTTCAACAACTAACTCTTTCCATCTGCAGGCACTACCAACCCCAGCACAGGAGACTGCACCCTGAGTTCCAGGTACCCTCTCCTCAAGAAGGCAGGATGGGGCTAGCAGGCACTCCCAGGAAGGAGAACTGGCAGACAGGAACCTTAGCAGCTTCTTCTAAGGACTCTCCTGCTCCCTCCAACTCTCCATTGCCAGAGACTGTGAACTGCTAGACCCAAAGGATACTAGCCAATGTCTTCAAAGTAACCAGAATGTGCCAGTCAGCAAGCTTCCTTCACCCTATTTGCTGAAGTCAGGCCTGCGCCTAGATTGCAGTTGCGATTCTGAAGGTAACCTTAAGGCCTACAGGAGGAACCAGGACCTGGGATGTCCAGTTGTCTGCACGTGTAGCTTAATGAAAGGATAATGGAAATTTTCATGCATCCACTACAGGTACCAGGAAGGAAAGATCTGTCCCATATCTGAGGTTCTCAAAAGCATGCTACATGTTCAACAGTGAGATAGGTAAAGGCCAAATCATAAATGAAGACACAGTTCCTTAGATTATAGACCATAATACTAGTAGTGTTGTCAGTGAGGATACTTGGGCATTGCAAGAGTACAATGAAGATTCATTGCATTCAACAGCACTGAAAGGATTATGAGGACATAAAGCACATAAGGAGCACACTTAGGATGTAGAACAAATCAGTACTATTCACCAGGGAATGGACTCCCTGATGGGGCTCATATGTCTGGCATGATCATTTTCGTGCAAACATCCAGGAGTGTGAGCTAGCGAAACTAACTGCTTCCTGTATCACAGCTGTTTTAGCATTAATATTGGTTGAGGGTAAGATTTGTGCATGCATTTTAGTTTTCAGACGTGAGAACATCAGAGCCATATGTGACAGGAAAAGTCAATGTTTAATTGCATAGATTAATAAGGGGTGGGTAATTTTATTCATTTAAGGAATGTGGCAAGCAGAGAGCTGACGGCCAACTACATCAATTAAATATTAACGAGCGTAACTCTAAACAATGCTCGTGCCTCTTAAAAGCAGGCAACCATAGATTGTCTGTAGCTCAGTTGACAGTCTTCCAATCTTTAATAATCATCTAGGCCTGTCTTTGGATTCTTGCCCTCATCCTTTTCCTCAGTGGTTTCCTCTTGCTCCTGAATCTCCTCAGCAGGTATGTCCCTAATTTGCAAAATTGAGATTGTGTTAGATGCAGTGCATCGCTATGCTGCAGGAACCTTGTTTCAGTTATAGTGTAAAGACCCAACCATCCAGGCATCAGAGCCCCATCTCTTCAAGGCCGGTCAGTGGTATGTTCTACAACGGCTCAGACCCACGTGTGTGCCGCATTGTATCTCTCTTTAGCATTTCATAAACAAGGGATGAGGGGCTGTTTGTTGTCACCATTAACCATCCTTATGTGGGCTGAGAGCTTTTGAAAAAGTGGTCCAGGATGTAAATCTTGTGCAGTTCCTTAGACATATGGTGCAGATCTGCAATGTGGTCACAAATTACTTAAATGTTGTGGAGTGAAATCCTTTATTGAAAAAGGTTGCTGGTTCATGGTAGGGTCCTCAGACAGCTATTTGAGTGCATTCAATTGCACCTTGAACTTGTGCAATATCACCAAGATCAGATTGCTAATGTCTGAGCTATCTGCCTGTCTGTCTCCATCAAGGGGGAAAAGACATGAATTGGTGGGCTGTCATAAAGAAAGTATGATGATATTCCAGAACAATCTACTGGTGTACAAATTAAGGGCAGCTGCTATCTGTAGAGCTACCAGGTTGGGATTACCACCAGTCCTTGTGACCACAGGTCCATATGCAAAGTTTAAGGTATGATACATTGGCTTAGCATAACCTGAGTTTTATTCTACACTGTTTCTCACTCACTTGCAGATACCTCAACCTAAGCCTTATTTTGTAGGAGCTGTACTTTGGACTTGGTAGCTTTTGTCCGGCTTGTTCGGTGTTAGGAGACTATGCAGCTACGGTGCAGTTATCTCTGTCTTCTGTGGGGTTCCTGTCCTGTGCTATGATCAAAGAAAGAATTGTTGGATTGATCCCTGTCATGCTTCATTCACTCATTGGCATAGATCTGTGAAAGTACACTGTATTAGTAAAGAGATTTCAGCTCTGGTATCCTTCCCCATGAAGTTTCCAGGTTATGCTCTGAGGTTAAGCTTGCTTCTGGCCAAAGCCATAAAAATGTTCCATGTGATTCTGCATTGTTGTGCCTCTTGAAAGGGCAGAGCAATTAGTTCTGTCTTACAGAAGCAGCAATTAATTTCCCAGAAATGCTAGGGAAGCAACAGTCTATAGGGAAGGTAGAATTGAAGGTACTGGCAAAATTAATGGGAACTGAAAGCTGATAAATCTCCATTACCTAATAATTTGCATTCCAGAGTACTTACGGGGGTAACTATTTCATTGGCTGTCATTTTCAAAAATTCTGTAGATTCCTCGAACAGTACTAATCAGATTGGAAGTTGACAGATTAAACCCCACTATTCAAAACAAAAAGGGTGGGAAGAGAAGCTGGGAATTATAGAATCGATGACAACATCAATAGTACAGAAAATGCAGCAGTCTGTCTTGTAAAGGGACTTGGTACAAAACCAATTTGGATTTATGGAGGGGAAACTGGAGATTTAAGGACGTAACTTTTAAAATAGATAAGCTATGGTGTATTTGGATTTTTAGTATGCAAAATCAAACTGTATCAAAATGATATATACGCTGTTGTGGATTGAGAATTGGTTAGGAGGCAAGAAACAGTATAATAAGAAATGGGTCATTTTCAGAGTGGGAGGCAGTGATGTCGGGTACTGCAGGGATCAGTGCTTGGGGCCCCAGCTATTTAAAAAATATGTATCAGCAATTTGGATGAGAAAAATGTAATATCTCCACAATTTTGTTTATAACAAAAAACTAGGTGGGATTCTGTATGGTGAGGAGAATGTTAAAAAGGTTAGATACAATTAAATTTTTTTTAATGGAAATAAAAGTAGCAGTAAAAGAATAGTGTTGGAGAACAAGTTTGAACTCTTGTTATTTCCATTGATGTTTCTAACTGTCTTTATAAATTTACAAATATAGCTTTAATTGTAAACTTAGTCTATTTTTTAGGAACATCTGCAGCTGCATGAATGTGTTTTGGTGACTAATAACCACCGTAGCCAAATACAAAGTTGAAATGTCCGATCTACCAAACCAAGTTTCCTACCGTTTTTGTCGTTGAAGAGACCACTTATACTGCATTGTTCTCAATAGGGCTGAAATTCCAAAGTCTGGATCTCACCCACTTTTTAAATCACTTTCTCAATGTACCATGCTAACTTGAACAAATGTGGACACATACCCTCAGCTCTCTGTTCCTGCTCTGCTTTTAAAGTCCTAATTTACATTATCGGCACACAAAAATATTCTTAATATTTACAATATTCTTTCATATTTGGATCACTGAAAAATATAGTAATTGACCACTGAATAATTTTACTTTATATACAGTCTTAAAAGAGATGTTAGAATTCTGATTTGAAGGCAGCATACTTTAATGTTACACCTACAACAAAAATACGTTAGTGAAGTCATGATTCCAAAATACACTACATCATTGCAAAATAAATCATACAACCAACATTTCAGTAGTTGAACTGAAAGCCAAGTGATCAATACTCCGAGGGAAAACGAACTTGTAGTCCTTGCCTACCCAAAAAAAAATATCAAAAAGTAATGAAGTACTATATTTTGCCAATAGTCAGCATTTTGTATTGACTAAATACAACACACTGCTCCTTTTGCTTTGGGAGCACAAATTTTGAAACTGAGCTGCCTGGGATTATTTCTCCCAAAAAAAAAACAAAAAAAAAAAACACAAAACCAAATATTGACTCAATATTTGCAAGCTTGTTCATTCCCCTCTATCCTATCATTATTGTTTAAAAAAAAAAATGAAGATTTACAAAATGCATAGTGTTAGGAAACATCACCAACTCTATTTGCTTAGAGACACTAGAAAAAAAAAAAAAAAAATTCTTAAATATGCCTCATAGCTTTTATCCTGAGATTTCAATTTGAAAAAAAAACAACACCTGTCCTGGTACAAAGTCCAGAATTGTTGTTTTTGTACAACTTTGAACAATACTTATGTTTAAACAAAATCTTTTTACCTGACTGAAAGCAAACATAGAATGAATGACCTGAAAAGGGATAGATTTGGAGGTTTTAAACCCAATGTGAAAATTCAAGACTGACACCAACCACAAAAACAAAAGAAAAATCAAAATATAAATGCTGAGTACTGGATTTGCAATAAAGAACTAAAAGCATTTCTTACAGCAGCAGATTTTTTTTTTTTAAATCCAGAAATCATACAGTTTAAGAAAATTTCTAAACTGCGAGAAAATAAAAGTCAGCACAGGATTGGCAGTAGAATACATTAAGACTACACATGTATTTGTACATCAGATAACTTATAAATAACGATGATTTCCTGTAGTAATTAAATGTTGAAAATCAGTTCAAAATGAAATCGTAAAATAGGTAATACTCCTCTTTTAGATTGCTTTCTTTCAAAAAAAAGGTTGCAACATTATACTAAGAGAAATCTAAATAATCTAAAAAATGAATGTAACCAATATTAATATTTTTGATCTCCATTTTTAAAATACTGGATGATCCTGTTATACTCATCATTGGATTGATGATAAAAGAATGCTTTCAATTTTATAAAAGAAAAAAATGGGATTACTTATGTATTTTTTGACCAGTTTATACAGGAATTGACAACCATTGGTTTAGTTTTAATACCTACTCAAATTATTCAAATTCCTTTGAAAATTTAGAACTGAACAATGAAAGGGGATTTAAAAAAAAACTTAAGAGCCACATCCATTTGTGGGCAGAAACTTAATGCAAGACTGCCATTATTCCAAAGTGCAGGGTGAGTTTTACCAAATCCAAGACATCAACTTCAATTTTCCGAGAATAATTAGCTTCTTAATTATGTGTAAGCAAGCATATATATTTAGATCATTGTGAGAGCTCCCTCTTTTGTTCTTCCACATTTGAGGGAAGTGCCACACGTTGTTCATTCATGCGCTTGGCCTGAGATCGCAGGATTAGACTGAAGAAATCTTCATCAGGAACAGTAATACATTTATGTACAGTCTGTGGTGGTGCACATCTCTGGTCATCTAGTCTCGTGCCCTGAAGGATGAATTAAACGATTAGAGATACTAAAAAAAAAATGCTCAAATGAAGAAATTAAAGATTTAAGTCACTTACAATGTAGTATGTATTTACAATAGTTCTGAGGTTTACGACTTTTCAGCAAATTAAAAATCCAGAATATTGCTTTAAAATTTAAAATCCATAGATGGCATTTTAGCACAGCTCCATATTTGAATTTTTCTAATTCACTTGGAAGTGATTCTGATTCTGGGGATGGTGGGTCTGCAGATCTCAGAGACTTAAAATTCTAACAGAACTGGTTAGGCAAGATGCAGAGAGAATGTTCCTGATGGTGGGTGTGTCCAGAACCAGGGGTCATAGTATGAGAATTCAGGGTAGCTGATTTAGGATGGAGATGAGGAGACATTTTCTTCACCCACAGTGATGAGCCGATGGAATTCATTACCACAGGAAGTAGTTGATGCCAAAACATTGAACGTATTCAAGGGGCGACTACACATAGCACTTGGGGGCGAATGGGATCAAAAGGTTATGGGGAGAAAGCAGGACTAGGCTATTGAGTTGGACGATCAGCCATGATAGTGAAGAATGGCAGAGCAGACTCAAAGGGCCAAATGGCTGCCTCGTGCTCTATGTTTCTATTTACATGCACTTGGAGAGGCAAGGACCGATTAGAGATGGTCAGCATGAGATTGTTGGCTTGCTCGCCAAGCTGGCTGGTTATCATGCAGACATTTCATCACCATGCTAGGTATCATCATCAGTGTGGTCTCCAACGAAGCGATGTTGTTCTACTCCACATGGAATTCCCTTGCGTGTCTGTGGTTGGCTGGAGCTAAGAACTTCTAGAGGCCTGGTTTTCAACCCATAATACAATCAATAAACATGGAATTAGACCCCATATACAAACCCATGCAGAAAAGAACCATAAATGACACAACCCAACTTAATAGACCAGATCATATAAATAGCAAGTGGAGTAGAACAACAATCACTTCCTCAGAGGCTGCACTGATGATGTTACCTAACATGGTGACAAAACGTCTGTACAATAATCAGCCAGCTCAGCGAGCAAGCCAACAACCTCATCCACAACCTGAGCTACAATTCTTCGCAAGAACCTTAAATAGTCAGCATGGTTGTGTGCGAGAGAAATCATGCTTCTCAAACTTGATTAAGCTTTTTGAGAAAGGAACCAAAAAGACAGAGGGCAGAGCAGTAAATGTTGTTTACGTGGACTCTAGTAAAGCCTTTGACAAGGTTCTGCATGGTAGATTAATTAGTAAAGGTAGATCCCATGGAATTCAAGGTGAGCTTTCCAATTGGGTACAAAATTGGCTTGACGGTAGGAGACAGAGGATGGTGGTGGGTCATTTTTCAGACTGCAGACCTGTGACCAGCAGAGTTCCATAGGGATTGGTTCTGGGTCCACTCTTGTTTGTCATTTATAAAAATGATTTGGATGAGAATATAGGAGGCCAGGTTAGTAAGTTTGCAGATGACATCAAAATTGGTGGTATAGTGGACAATGAAGGTTATCTAAAATTACAAAGGGATCTTGATCATTTGGGTCAATGGGCTCATGAGTGGCAGATGGAGTTTACTTTAGATAAATGCGAGGTATTGGTAAAACAATTTTGACATTTGCGTCACAGGTAGACATGGTGGTTAAGAAGGCATTTAGCACATTTGCCTTCATTGCTAAGACCTTTGGAGTATGGAAGTTAGGATGTCATGTTGAGGGTGTACAGGACATTGAGGCCTCTTCTAGAGTACTGTGTGCAGTTCTGGTCATCCTGTTACAAGAAGAATATTATTAAATTGGAGAGGGTTCAGAAAAGATTTACCAGGATGTTGCCAGGAATTGAGGGCTTGAGTTATAAAAATAGGCTAGATAGGCTGGGACTTGTTTCAGTGGAGGGTAGGAGGTTGAAGGGTGACCTGAGAGGTTTATAAAATCGTGAGGGCATAGATAAGGTGAATAGCAAGGGTCTTTTCCCCAAGGTGGGAGTGTTCAAATCTAGGGGACACATTTTTAAAGGTGACAGAAGCAAGTTTTAAAAGAACAGGAGGCAACGTTTTTTTTTAAAAAAAAAAAACAGTGGTTAGTATGTGGAATGAACTGATGCAGGTACAGTTACAATATTTAAAAGACATGTGGATAAGTACATGAAGAGCAAAGGTTTTGAGACACATGGGCCAAATGCAGACAAGTGGGACGAGGTTAGTTTGGGAATATGGTCGGGGTGGACTAGTTGGACTGAAGGGTCTTTTTCCATGTGCTGTATGACTATAAGCAGGTCAAGTCAAAATATGGACAAACATTTGATGAAAACCTGGCATAGAAGCTATTTAAGCTAACAAAATAATAAAATTACACAAAATTGCAACTATAAATCAAGGAGTGACATTACAGTACAAGTTTCTAGTTTGGAAGTATTACGGTTGTCTTGGTCTCCTTCTTTCAAAATTAGAATACAATGATCCAATAATTTGCAACTTCAAATTAAATCAGCATAAGCTTAAACTTTCGAGGAAATAAAAAACTTTAGGTTGTGGTCCAATAAATAAAAGGTATCTCAGGCCACCTCAAATCACATTGGACACAATCCTGTGCTATGAGGGAACTCTAGGACCCAAATGGCCTGCGTATCTGCACTAGCTCTTTGAGCCAAAAGTCCTGACTTTCACGTGTGCAGCAAATGTCAGCTGGAGAAGCTTGACCAGCAGCTGGCATTCTTGTAGGGAATCCACAGAGCTACAAGGGTAGCATGTATCTGGAAGTGGTCATCCAGCATCTGAAGGGCATCCAGGCTGAGGATTTATGGTTGGCTGCCTAACAGTCAAGGGGAACAGTACACAGTGATTTCCTACATTTTGCCCTCAAAGTTGAAAACTTTGAAAGCATTAAGCATTACCTTCATAGAATAAATAGAAAGATTAAAAAAATAAGGTAACAGTTGACATTAAAATTAATGTAAACCTAGGGGAGAAAAAAGGAATAAAGTTAAAAGTTCAACAGTCTTTGAGGCGAGACCTCGGCTGCCTGTTCTCGATGTCACTGCCACAGTACCAGATACTGGGTGACCTCCCTCACCGCTTGTTCTTCCCACCTTAAGCCATGATGCCATTGCAACTGCTGCCGCCGCCTCTGGAACATACCTGAGCATCACCCACTTGCTCGCCAAGACGACATGCTGAGGCCAGGAGGAGTGAAGAAAAGAAACAAGAGGAGGAGAAAAAGTGAAACAAATGGGTGGAGCAGATGAACTCCAGCTGAAGCATCCTGCTCTGCCACCATCTTGGTCTATCACTACAATTGTTATAATTCATATTGGTGCTAGTGATATAGGAAGAAAAAGAGGGATATTGTCCTACAAGTAATTTTAGGGTGTCAAAAAATTCAACAACATACATTAGGAGCAGGAGGAGGTTATTTGTCCCTTTGAGCCTATTCTGCTATTGAGGAGAATCATGAAATCAGTCCTCTTTATCAATGCCATGTTTTCACTTACTTACCATACCCTTTGACACCTTTAAAGTCTGAAAATGTATTTCTCTCTCGAATATGTTCAGTGGCTTGGCCTCCGTAGCCCACTATGGTAGAGAATGCCACAAGTTCACTGTCCTAAATGATTTACCCCATATCCCGAGTCTGTGACCCCTGGTTCCTGACTCCCAATCAGGGAAAACATCCTCCCTTCAAGTAGTCTCTGCAGCCCTGTTAGAATTTTGTGTGTTTCAATCAGCTCCTCTCTTATATTTCTAAACTCTAGTGAATATAGGCCCAATCAAACCAATTTCTCCTCACAGGACAGTTCTGCGGTATCAGCCTGGAGAGACCCCCCCACCCAACTGCACTCCCTCTAAGGCAAGTATCTCCTTTCCTGTGTAGTACTCCAGGTGTGGTTTCACCAAGACCCTGTACATTTGCAGTACAACATCCCTGCTCCTGTAGTCAAATCCTCACGCTATACAGACTGCCATAACCTTTGCTTTCTTCACTGCCTGCTGCACCTGTGTGACTGCTTTCAATGACTGGTGTACAAAAGCACGCGGGTCTTGCTGCACCTCCTTTCCTAATCCATTTGCTACAAAGTGGATATTCCTCTCAATCATCCACATTGTACTACACCTGCTGTGCTTTTACCACTCTCAACTTGTCCAAATCTCACAGAGGCACCTCTGCATCCTCCTCATAGTTCACCCTCATATCCAGCTTTGTATCACAGAGTGGAGGCACAAGAGGTTGGCATGATTCTCAATGAAAACTTTGCCTTTGTAGAAAACAGGGGGGATGAAGCAAGGTTTAGGAACCACAACATTTGCTTAAAGATGCCTGGTATTAAAGTTTGGCTTACCTGACATTTTACCAGCATGTCAAAGAAAGAATCATCTGGCTCCTTGCTGTCTGCACTGGTGATCAGGTGACTAAGTACAGAGTGACTATTATGTTGGTCTAGCCGTAAACCTGGAAGATTGCCAGTGCTTGCACGTTGATCATCTAGTCGACGGCTCTGGGAGCTTGCAAGCAGATCCAAAAACTCACCTGTCTGAGGTGAGGTACCTGAAGTAGAAACAGCAAGGTTATTGGAGATATATTCATTTTAGCACAAAAATGTACAAACTGAACCCTCAAAAAGGGCTTGATTTTCTCTGACCGGTTTAAATTTTTAAAAATTCATTCATATATGAGGGCATCGCAGGCTAGGTCAGCATTTATTGATAATCCCTAATCGCACACAGGGTGGTTAGGAGTCAACCACATTGCTGTGGGTCTGGAGTCACATATAGGTCAGATCAGGTAAGGATGGCAATTTCCTTCTGTAAAAGGACATTCATGAACGAGATGGGTTTTTCCTGACAATCAACAACGGATTCGTGGTCATCATTAGTCTCCTGCTTCCAGATTTTTTATTGATTCCAAATTCCACCACCTGCCGCTGCAGGATTCAAACCTGGGTTCCCAGAACATTACCTGGGTCTCCGGATTAACAGTCCAGCAATATAACCACTAGGCCATCACCTCTCCTAAAAAGGTATAGTCCTAGTAACCTTGACATAGTTAAACAGCAATTTGCTCATTGAACACATCTGAAGTCAAACAGACAATTCCAATTTATACATGCAGTCTAAATCCAGGGAGCTAATACTACAACAAACCTTTTCTTTAAAGGTCATCGCAGGTCTAATGAGTGACTCAGCAACCTTCCATCTAGGCAAGTTGATGGATATGAACCAAATCCTTGGTGATGGGATCATTTCACATCGTGCACTTTTGTCAATGGCTTAAGAGACCAATCCGAGAGCGGTAAGTTCTGCAACAAATTCTACCTATGAAGTGGTTATCAGGTGGTGTTTTAGATTGTCATCAGTTTTGGTGCATGTTACCATGATGCATGGAGGTACACACCAGCCCACAGGTAATGGCAAGTATCTCCCACATGTGAAAAATCAATATTTAGAGTCTTCATGTCACTTTTACAAAAATCTGGGCAAAAGATGGCAAAGATAACCTGGCTGATAACCAACTGCTGAGCACGCAACTGCCTGCCTGCCCTCCCTTCATTACCTTCTCTCTCTCTCGTGCTCTGTGTGACCTCTCCTGCTCACATAGCTCCTGGGACTGAGACCTAAGAATCACTTCTCCTATTTCCTGGCAGCCAAGCTGGGCTTGTGTTTGGAATAGAGCCTAGCAGTCTACCCGCTTACCTCCAGCTCCTGTTGCTGATGCTGCAGTGAGATTTTTCCAACATTCCCCTAGCCCAGGCCCAGTGGTTATATAAGCACACCCCCAACCCAGTGCTTTTATAAGCCTCAAGTGATCATATAACCTGTCCAACCTCCTGTTCATATATTTCCACTGCCCATATAGTATTTACAACCCCCAGTAGTTTTTATAACACTCCACAGACCAGTCATAACACCCCCCACCCAGTTTGTGCTTTCATAAATGCCCTCAGCCCAGTGCTTTTATAAACTCCCCACGCCAGTGATTGTGATTTCACAAAGTGAGAGGGACCAGCACAATGGCCGCCACTGTCCTGTCCTTCTTGTCTTCTCCCCTGCCTCACATCAGACCTCACACTACCCCAACAGGAGGCGCTCCTAGCACCAAACTGCTTGTCTGCACTCCACCACTGGCAATCCAAGCCAAAATGGCATTGCGTTGTCTACGGTTCTCTTGGATCCTGCCTCACCACTGGACCATGACTTTGGGTGTTAAGCCCACATGGTAGCCACTGTACAACAGCTTCCCCACATTAAAAAGAACTCTCACACAGGCACCTTCCACACCCTCAGGATGAAGTTCAGGACCAGGAATGTCAGGACCCTTCTGGTCAGTCCTGCCAGTGACAAACCAGAACGCCGCATCACCATTACTGCCCAGAAATTCAGGCACTACTCTATTGATATCGCCACTCTATAGCCACCACCTTTTGTCTCTCTTTTTTGTGGAAAGGCAAAGCTGAAGAGCGCCGCATCCATGGAGTTGGCTTCGCCATCAAAAACGAACTGGTGGACTAACTGATAGACTCACTCTGTAGAATAAGTGAACACCTGATGACACTCTGCCTCACCCTTGCTCAGAACCAAATATGTCACAGTATTCAGTGCATACGCACCAATGCTCAATGCAGCAGCTGAGGATAAGGAGGAATTCTACTCCAACCTTGACCGATCTATCACCAGTTCCTGCAGCAGACAAACTAAATCGCTCTTGGCAACTTCAACTCCAGGGTCAGCAAAAGTGCAGACCTTTGGTGGGGGGGGGGGGGGGGGGGGGGGGGGGTGTGTGGGGAGAACGGTGATGTAAATCAGGAAAGAGGGAGTAGGGAAGCAAAATGCCAACATCACCCTTCTCCTGGCCAAATGCTGCAAACACAACCAACTTATCACCAACATTGTTTCGCCAAAGGGACAAATACAAGACAAGGTGGCAGCACCTATCCTCCAAACACTGGCACCTCCTCAGTTACGTCATCAGAGTGAGGGATCGGAAAGATGTTAAAAAAATCACCCGTGCCATTACAGGAGCCGACAACTGCTGGATGGACCATCGACTGATCGGAGCCAGAATCAATGTAAAGATAGCCCCGTCACTGTGGAGATAACAGAAGCAGTACCGCAAGATGTTCAACATTGAGGCACTCAAAGATCCAGGAAAAAAAATAGCCTCATACAACCAACTCCTCTCCTCAAACCTAGCAGCCCTCGGAAACACCGAGTTGCAGAATCCCAACAGCCTCTGAACTGCCCTCAAGACTGCCATCATCAATGCCTGCGAAAACTCAGCTGGTCACAATCAGCAAGTACCAAGACTAGTTTGATAAGAATGATCAGGAGATCCAAGAAATGAAAAGCTGGAAGTGCATGGCATTTTTAAGTGTAAAACAGCAACCACACTCAGAAGGCAGGCCTACAGATGACTGAAGGCTGAGGTCCAACAATAAACCCACGACATTAAAAAGAAGTGGTGAATGGAGAAAGCACTGAAGGCCCAATGAATAACTGACAACCATAATATGCAGGATTTTTTCTGTGCTGTCAACCATCTACGGACCAAACACCCAAGGCCCCACCCCATTGCTAACCAAGGTCAGAGTGACTCTCAAAGACAAAGAAGTCATCAAATAACGCTGGGGTGGGTGGGGGAAAACGTGACTTCAGAGACCTCTGTCATTGATCTGGACATCCTTGAACACATCCCACAACATGCTACATGCCACAACCTCAGCAACACCCCAGCCCTGCAAGAAATAGAGAATAACGAGGCTGTCGGAGGCAGATGGTAACCCCACTAGAGGAGACGAAGAGCTCCTGCAGCTGCTATGAGCTCCTGTCTGCCTTATCTGGAAGGAGGAGCACATTTGGGAAGAGCTCCAAGATGCCACAGTTTTTCCCCTTTTGGTAATAGCTCATAAGTTGGACTGTGCTAACTACAGGGAATCTCCCTACTGTCAACCATTTGAAAAGTCATGGCCAAGGTCCCCCTCAAGTATCCTGCCCCTGTGGCTGAGGAACTTCTCCCAGAATCGCAGTGTGGCTTTCAGCCACAGAGGGACACAATGGATATGATTTTTCAACGGATCATAGCTGTAGGAGAAGTACAGAGATAAGAACCTACCCCCGTATATGGTCTTCTTTGACTTTACAAAGGCCTTTGTCATCGTCAATCAGAAAGCACTGTGGAGCACCTTCCACCACTTTAGTTGCAACATGAAGCTTGCCACCATCCTTCGCCTGCTCCACAAATACAGAAAGTGATGATAATGACAAATGGCTCCACCAGCATTCCCCATTCAGACTGGTATCAAGCAAGGTTGCATCATCACCCCAACAATGTTCCTGATCAATCTCACTGCAATGCTTCACCTCATTGCTGACAGGAGCTACTTACTGAACCAGCAGGAAATTATTCAACCACTGCCTTCAAACCGAAACTAAAGTCACCCCAACCAGTGTTAGTATCATCGAGCTGCATTAAGCAGATGATGTTTGTGTAAGTGCAATCTCAGAGATGTATTCCAAACCAACATCAGCACATTTATGGAGGTACAGGAGAGCATTGGTCTCACCCTGAACGTCCGTGAAATGAAGGTCCTCCACCAAGCTGCCCTGGCTTATGGAGCAAACCTTTAATCAAGGTCTGCAGGGAGAACATTAACCACTTCCAATACCTCAAATGTCCTGTCAGCCACAGCAGCTATTGAAGAGATCCAGCAATGTCTCCAGTGTGCTAGCACAGCCTTCGGCCATGCGAGGAAAAGGGCGTTCGAAACAACAAAAATCTGACCCCAAAATCATGGTTTACAGAGCTGTGGCAGTTCCTGCCCTCCCCTATGGCTCCGAGATGTGGACAGTTTACAGCAGACACCTGAAAGCACTGGAGCAGTACCTCCACTGTCTGCACAAGATCCTGTGAATCTGCTGGGAAGATAGATGCACTAATACCAACTTCCTCGACCAGGCCAAAATCCCCAGCATCGAGGCACTGACCATCTTTGATCAGCTGCGATGGGCTGGGCACATTGTCCACATGACCAACACGAGACTCCCCAAGCAGGTGCTCTACTTCCAGCTCCGAAACAGCAGGAAGTTGATACCCTCAAGGCCTCACCGCTGAAGTGCAGCACTCCCACATACACAGAAATCACTGGCCCAAGACTATCCAAATTGGAGGAGGAATATCCGCAAGGGTTGCAAGTACCTAGAAACTTGCTGTTGGGGAAAAAGCAGATGCCAGGTGAAAACAGTATAAGGAGCATGCTGCCACATCAGTGCCCCACCCACCCTTTCCCGCGACCACCTTCCGTCCCAAGTGTAACAGAGCCAGTGGAAGCGCTCGGGTCTGTACAGCCACCTACGGAGTCACCGTGTGGAAGAAAATTATCCTCGTCTGCGAGGGACCATCAATGATGACAAAAATCCAAGAAGCAAAGATTTGTCTGGCTCCAGCTAGCTCATTATACAGAAAATCCTCGAGTTGCACATGCCTGCCTTCCTGCAAAAGTGCCTAAGCCAGCAGAGGAGATTTTCCTTAGAGAGGACTGTTGCATTAGTAATTTAGTCAACAAAATGCTACAAACAGACGTTAAATTGTGAAAGCTTCCTTTCTAAATAGCCATAAGTTGACCACATTTCACAGGTGTGCACAAGAGAAAATTGCTGTTTGAGGCCTAACAGTCATCTTGCCATATTTCCATGCATGTATCATGGCCCAAGGTGGTAGCTTCTTTCCCTCTATGTATCAGTTTCTGCATCAAGAGTCAAAATTTACAGGAAGCAAAATTTCCTAACCACTACATGTTTTTTAAGTGTGATCCTTGCTGTAGATGTGACACTATAAATGTTATTGGATTGGACAAAAAGGAGGGCAAGTTAGGTTTCAGAGATGTAATCCATTCTGAGGCTGTGTTACTGAGTTTCCATTGCAGTCAACAAGCACAGCATCAGGCTACGTTTTTATCTTCACTTTCATCCTGGATAGAATACAGAGTTTGTTCTCTGACTTGGCAAAGGTCAAGAGCATGGAGAAGAAAATAACAGTGCAGCTAGGACGCATGCCAGATTCGCTCCATTCTTTGCTCTGAAATGGTTGGAGGTCATGCTGTTGTGAAAAGGAGAGAATGTGATTAAAGGAGTTTAATGGAACAGCTAGTTTCCTCAAAGTTTTATCTATTCATGCCTATTGACAGTGTTGATTGCTTTACTGAGATCCATTAAAGCAAGGTAAGAATTATATCCTGTTCCCTGCACTTCTCTTGCAGCTGGCATATTAAAGTCATGTTCACTGTAGATCTGTCTGAGCCTAGTGCTTCTGGATACATTTGGTCTGCAATTGAATGAAGTATGCCACAATTCTTAACATAACCTTTATAGTAAATTTGTTGTCAAGAGTGGCATTACAAATAAATATAGTTGGGAAAATTCCATCTTGCTATTAACCCAATTTTTTGATATCCTTCTTTTAGAAATGTAAAACAAAAAGAATAAAGAGGTGGAGATTCAGTCTAAGCTTGTTATCAAGACTGCTTCCAGTCAAAACTAAAATGCTAGAAACACCACACTGACAAAAGAATAGGCTAAAAACATGAGCAAAGTACAAAATATTCAAAAGAAATAAACTGAAAGGAGGCAATATATGGATACAATCAAGAGAAGTAATAGAGTACCCAGAAATTCACACTCACCAAATATTTTAGGTGGGGTCGATGAGGCTGGTGTGTTACTTATCAACCCTTTCTGACTGTTTGTGAATGAGCATCGTTGATCATCCATCCGATTGCTCTGAAATCGGCTCAGTAAGTCAAAAAATCCTTCATCTCCTACCATACTGGGATTGATTCTCTGAAAACAAAAACGGTTGGAAATTGTACAATGACTACAGTATTTAGCAGGTTCTATATAAGTTATACAAAGCATGTGCCATATAAACACCAGAAAAAGGGGTCTTCATGGCAAGTGGTTCTCGGCGCCTTTGACAATGTCTGACCCATTTTTCACACACACAGTCACTCCTTCCCTGTACCCCCGCTGAAAACATGCAATAACAGGTTCTCTTGCCCTCACTTTCCACTCCTCCAGCTTTCAAATTCAGTAGATCATCTGCCATTTCTGCCACTTCCAGCACATTGCCACCAATCCAGTCAGCAGTCCAAAGGTAGTGTTCCCACTACAACCTCCTGATTCACTCCTTAACTAACCCTAATACTTCATCCTTTTCCCATAAAATGCCCTTTTCCTCTCACTATTCAAAGCCCTGAACACTTCTTCCAGTGGTGAGACAATAATTTACTTGTATTTCTTCCAATTCACCATACCATATTTGCTCTTCACCATGCAGTCTCCTCACATTGAAGAGACTATTTTGTGAAACATCTCTACTCAGCACATTAAACCCAATTCAGATTCTGGATACTTGCCATTTTAGTTCACCACTTTGGTCTATGTTTCTGACCTCAGCCTGCTGCAGTGCTCGAAGCTCAAGGTAAGCTGGAGTAATGACACCTCATCTGATCAGGTACTATACAGCTTTCTAAACAATTCAACAAATTCAGTCCGCAAACTCTTCCCTTTTCTTCCCCACCCCACCTTGGCATACACTGATCTTAATTTTTCATGTTTCTGTTTTCAGATGGAATTGTTCATTTTTCTGCAATGCGAGTGGAGGCATAATGTTTTTTGTTTCTTTTCTGGAGTACTGTGTCCAGGTCTGGTCATCCTGTTATAGGAAGGATATTGTTAAGCTGGAGAGGGTTCAGAAGAGATTTACCAGGATGTTGCTAGGAATGGAGGGTTGGTGATATAAATACAGATTGGAATGCTGGGACTTTTTTCACTAGAGTGTAGGAGATTGAGGAGTGACCTTATAGAAGTTTATAAGACCATTGGAGCCACAAATAAGGTGAATGGCAGGTGTCTTTTCCCTGGGGTGGGGGATTTCAAGACTAGTGGCCTTATTTTTAAGGTGAGGAGAAAGATTTAAAGACATGAGGGGCAACTTTTTTTTTTTAAAAAACAGTGGTGGATGCAGGTACAGTTACAATGTTTGAAAGACATTTGAAAAAATACATGAGTAAGAAATGTGTGGAGGGATATGGGCCAAGCACAGACAGGTGAGACTAGTTTAGTTTGAAATTATGGTTAGTATGGACTGGTTTGAACAAAGGGTCTGTTTCCATGCTGTATGACTATGATTCTCAGTTAGATATAGTTATTTGGGCTAAAGGGATCAAAGCATCTGGTGAAAAAGTGGAAAAAAGGGTACTGAGTTGAATAATCAGTCATGATGATAGTGGAGGATCAAGGGCTGCCTACTCCAGCTCCTATTTTCTATGTTTCTGTAATGGTCAGGAAAAAGGGATGAGCTTTTGTTTTGCTAAGTGTTTTTAAAGGTATTTCAAACTATTTTATATTTAGCTACTCTGTAATTTCTTTTCCTCTATAAGACTTCTATCGTTATTTTAAAAAGTTCTGCAGCCTCATGTAATGATGTTTTAGTAACTGACTACCACGTTAACCAAAATTAAACATACACGATTTATCAAGCCAGATTTAATTCTATAACTACCATCAGCACGGATCATTACACACTATCATACACAACAAGTTGTGTGTTATGTATAATTTTGCAAATTACAAGATGCAAACAATGAAAATAAAGTATTGTAACAAAGCTTACCTTTTGAGGAACATGAACTCTAGCATCATTTATGTCCTTAAGAACTTTAGCAGATGAACTGTTACTTTTATGCTTTTTGCCCCTGAATCGATTTAGAAACAGTAACTTAGTTGACGGCTTCCAAAGTGCAGGTTTCTGTTTCACAAGAATTTCACTATTCCAGTTTTGAACCTGGGTAAAATAATTGAATTCAATGTTTTCAATTATAAAACCTGCATATTAAAATTCTTTAAAACATGGCAACTGAATGTTTGATAGGCACTGAAATGGGGGAAGAGAAAAGGGATAAGCTGGGAGTTTGAATTGAGCAGTTCATCCTGCCCACCATCCACTCTGATCTGTCCTGAAGAATTAGAAGAAAGATGGCAAAACAATTTGCCTTCACTAGGCGGTAATATTCAGTATTTTGTAGATTAACTTTCAGCCTCAGATATATCCTTCAAGTTTGATACTGCATTGACACTGAAGCATAGACAGAGCAAACAGGGGAAAAAAAATAAACAAAAAAAAAAAAACTTTTCTGCTTGGTGGAGGGATCAGTGACCTGGGGACAGGAGGTTTAGGAGGGATGTGAGGAAAACCTTCTTCACTCAGACATTTATTAGAATCTAGAACTCACTGCCTGTAGGAGTGGTAGAGGCAGAAACCCTCAACATTTAATAAGTATTTAGACGTATACTATGATACTAAGGCATACATTGCTATGGGCCAACTGCTGGAAAATGGGATCAGAATAATTAAGTGTTGTTTTTGACTGATGCAGACTCGATGGGCCAGAGGGCCTTTTTCTGCACCTCGACAACTCTATGGACTTTCCAGGCTTAGGCAATTATCTTGGCAACTGAATATACCTGGAAATGTTTAGGAAAGCTGTAATTGTATATTCTCCATCACATTTTTTTCAGGACGTGACAAATTCCACTCAATGCTTCTGATACATCTTCCTTTTTCCTCAACTAAGAATTCCTTTTCACCATGGTCAGTGGCCCATTTTCACACTTCTGCTTTCATCCCTCACTCACCCAACACCATACCTAACTAACCACATCTTCAGCAGGTCATGCTCCACTCATTTAATCATTCTTAATATCTGCTTCTCCTTCCCATGGCAGTTTCCTGTGCAAGCACAGGAGATACAACATATGCCCTTTCACCTCCTCACTTTGCACTGGCATTTCTGGATTAAAAAAGCTATTTACTGCTGTCATTTAGTGTACTGTTTCCATGTCCATAAAGTCTCTGATTAATAGAACAATTATTGTAAATATTTAGTAAAACACTTCAATTTAGTCTGGAAGCATAACCCTGAGCATTTGATCACTTATTATTTTAATTCAGTCCCATTTAGAACTCAAAAGGGTCTTCACCTTGTACAACGTTATATGAAGCCAAACAGAAACTAGACGAATTAGCACTCTTCAACATTATAGAACATGAGACTAAAAATTCATCATTCTGCTAACAACAGTTACAATTGAGACAGACAGCATTCAAACTGGTGCCAGTTATTTACCCGACTGTAGCCTAGACAAAAGTGTGGCTAATGCTGCTGGCTGCCTTAGCACTCAAGAAATCAAGCAATCTGCACTGATCTCATTAGCTGCAGCAGATCGGGACACTGACAAAGATTCACTGTATCATTTAACAACTATTTCTGCTGTTTCCGAGTCCACATCAGAATGCCAGTACACAGGAATATGACATGCATAACACAAGCTTTACCCATGTGTTACTTTAAATTATAAATCAGGGTATCAAATATGTCATCAGAACTGAAAAAGATCTACCAGTGGTTTCATACAAGTACTTCAGCTGCCCAACAATAAATTTCTGACAGTTACAAGAAATCAACCACTAGAGTTAACAGGGTAGGTGAAGGTTCTAACTCCAAGTGACAATTGTCCTGAAATGTTACAAAATAGACCCTTGCTGGATGAGCTACTTTTACAACCAGAAAAGCCAAAATCGCATTTTGATTTACCAGGTGTAGAATTTATCCAGTCAGAAAAGAATTAGTTAATTTTGCCAACCCCATTGGCTAATAAGAAAAGCAAAAGTTGCAGGCCCAGAAATTCAGTCATGCCCAAAAATGTGAAATTGGTCCTAGCAACTTGTTCTACTAATAATGATAAACTGCTAGCCTGAACCTCATTACTTACTGGATGCATGCCTATCATAAGGTTAAGAAATCAGTGGCTGCAAACACTGCTTGTCAGCCAGTTAGCACCGATCAAAAGGGAACTTGCACATCACTGAAGACAGTTGAAACATTCTTAGGGTTAGGAAGGGGATGCTCAGATTCTCCCACTCAAAAAACTTAATTCAAATCAAAGCAGGATGGTTGCAGGATTCTGGTCCAGAACCATCTCAGTCTATTAAGTTTTCTTGTTGATTCTAGACATAGACTTTGTCCAGTAATCAGTTTCTTTGCACAGATCCCACCTGAGCTGCCCTAAATTCTAAATTTAGATCAAATCGCATTTAGCCCTTAGGGGTCTACACGGACTCCCAGTCTACTCACACCTCAAACATAACATTTTCACACGTGTGCTCAAATCTCTCTACAGCATTATTCCTCCCTATGTCTGTAACCTCCTCTGTTCATACATCCGAGACCCAAGTATTCACCAATTCTGGTCACTTGTGCATCCCAATTACTTGGAATCTCCTACTGATTAGCTGCACCTAGCTTTCTGGGCCTCGGTCGGTTGACTTCTCTCCTTAAACCTCTAAGCATACTAGTCTCCCTTTAACATGCTCTTTAAAAATCTTCCATGTTGGTCCAAACTTATATACAAGTATCCTTCCTTGTGTCACAAGAGGTTGTAAGTTGTTGAATTTTTTTTTAGAAAATTATGCCAGTACCTTATCTGGTGTTAGCTTCATTAGTTCCATTTTTTCCATACTTCGTCGGCGGCCTAAGCTTGGTCGAGCACCTAGAATAATAGATCATTAAGAGGGTTTTTGCTGTTGCCTTTGATCTTGATTTTTAACTACCAACTGTAATAACCATCTAGTATAAAGTTCACCTATCTACTTTCTCACTCCAGCAAAGAATCTGCCTTAGAATTTTCTGTTCCCTGGGAAAAACCATGTCTCAAAAATGTTATTACTTTTATTTTAACAAAGTGTTGCTTTCAAACTGAAAACTATAATTGAGGATGTGTTTGTATTATTTAGTGAAGGTGTAAAGAGTGATCTTATGATCTCTTCCTGTGTGTTCAGAGTGACCCATGAACTAGGCAAAGCTCTTTCAATTTACATTTTTAAAAATTTGTCCAAACTTCACGACTCACTTCCCTTAAAAGTTCCATTTTAATTTTATATATATATAGAATCCCTACAGTATAGAAGCAGGCCATTCAGTACATTTGAGTCAATACTGACCCTCCAAAGAGCATCCCACCACCCCCTATCTTATCCACGTAACCCTGCATTTCCCCTGGCTAATTCATCTAGCCTGTACACCCTGCCCATGGTGTCCAATTTAGCATGACCAATCCACCGAGCCTGCACATCTTTGGACTATGGGAGGAAACCAGAGCAGCCAGAAGAAACCCATGCAGACACAGACAATCACCAGAGGCTGGAATCCAACCTGAATCCCTGGCGCTGTGAGGCAGCAGTGCTAACCACTCAGCCATCAAGCTCATACATAGTAAAATACAAATAATTTATGAGGTTATGGACTCGCTCACCGAGCTGGCTTGTTTTCGTTCAGACGTTTCATCACAATGCTAGGTAACACTGCCTCACTGATGTTACCTAGCATAGTGATGAAACATCTGAACGAAAACAAGTCAGCTCGGTGAGTAAATCAACAACCTCACCCACAACTTGAGCTCCAAAATCTTTGCTAAAACTTTAAACAAATAATTTACAAAGTTGATGTCAGTAAAATGTTGAAAATAATTTCCAAATCACTATGTTATTATTTTGACCAGTACCAGGATCTTCCAAAAATGCACATTATCCTAGATGCCTCTACGCCTGGTCTTCCTTTATTGTTTCACCCATATGAAGCACCTCATTAATTGTGAATGTTAAAAAAGATAAGCCTGTGCAGATGAAATTAAAGATTCAGTTTAAACCCCAAGACACACTTCATACCAGTACTAATATTTAGCCTGAATACAAACAAGTGAAATATTGTCAAATCACTTCATTGATAAGTAAAACACCGACATTAAAACACAAGTTCATGCTGAGTTGCAGTAACAGAGCCACTTAAAAGGACTGAAGCAGAGAGCTACAGTCAGAGCACAGGTTAGAGCGAAGACCTCAAAAATTATCTTTCTTTGACTCACCTTGAGAGTTGGATTCCAGTTTGTGGCCTGTGGCCAAGATGGAGTTGTTTGCACTATAACTAATGCCCAAAACCATCTGAAGATCTGAAAGATTCATCCGAGCTGCAAGTTCACCACTTCTATCCCCTACCTATAAAATATTGAACACTAATGTTAGACAAGAATTACACGATACTACTATGAACTGTGACCCAGCAAGTAGATCCATAATGTCAAGCAGCAACTTAAAGGTATTTCAAAAGCTGACTTTTTCATTCAGATATAGTTTGAAAGACAGAGACAGAGACAATCTAAACTTCTACGTGGCAGAAACAGTAAATATATATATATATATATATATATATATATATATATATATATATATCCACATTTATTGCAAGCATCATTTTTGTTTACAAAATCTTGTGAAATATTGGTTTGCTTCTCAAAGTGTCCTTGAAGCGTGCATTTCATCTGCCTCATGTATCACTAGACACAGGAATTCTTTGAAGTCTAAACCTCTAGTACATAACTAATGGTATTTTGAATAACAATTATGCACTAAGGCAGCAATTTTTTTCTCCATCCTACAGAGCTTCAACTTTTAGACTATAAAATGACTCTTCAATCAGAAGATGTCTGGTAAAGGGAACTCTGACCTAGTGAGCACAGAGTCTATTACTAATTTCTCAATATCCAAGTTTGGTAATAGAGGGATTCGAATAATTGTTTAACCGGCAGACCTGAAAATTGTAGATGGGTGAGGAGCAGAAAGATTGAAGGGAGGTATTGAAAAGAAGAAGAAGTAGTTCAAGGAGGGTCAGGATTCTTCCTACAATCCCCACTCCCATGCAGGGTGGGATAGGGAGCATGCAACCATGCACAAGACTAGAAAAGGCTACTGAAGCTTTGTTCTGAAAAATATTATGTTTACTTTGAAGCCAAGAAGTCTGTCACCTTTAGAGCTGTGAGTTGGTAGAATGATTTACAGCATCAACCTGAAATGAATTTTCCCTCAAGTGATTTATTACATTTCAGGTTCTTTGCACAATTTTCTCAGTCTAAATCCTAGTATTGCTTCTCCTATATAGACTTTTTATTCCCCCCCACTAATGTCTATAACTAGAGATAGTATAATAGCTGGCAGCAGAGTAAAACAGTTCACTGCCACAAAAATTGCCTTGGTTTAAATGAGACGGTTCATCACCAGCTTCAAGTATAGACAATAATGTAGCCTTGCCAGAGACTCTAATTTTTAAAATATATTATTGGGATTCAAGTACAAGATTTAGCTAATATTAAGTGTTCTAACATTCTTATGGATCAGGTAGTCACCTTGAATACTTTATCAGTAAATAAAACAGTGTCAAGTAATAACAAACCATAAAGGAGTTTAGTCTCCTCATACCCTTTTCTGTAACTGCAAAATGCCTTTAGCTGAATCACTAATTCAGAACGAACTTCAAAAGCCATTTACTTTCAAAGCATTTCTAACGGACCAAAATGTATAATTACAACAAAGACCTCTGGGGCAAAAGCACGTTCTGAGTATTATCCACTTAGTTGGCATGAATTGGGCAAGAACTTAACATTATTAAACTAAAAACAGAAAATACTGGGGAAAAAAGCTTAGCAAGCAAGGCACAGTAATTACAGAGGAACAGCAACAAGTGAATAATTCAGAGACTGCCTTCCATACAAACTGTAAAATACTGTAATTTGCTCAACCATTAGGAAAAGCAAAATACTGCAGACCCTGGGAATCATTCTGGTGAAAGGTTATTGACAACAATACCTCTTTCTTTCCAAAGGTGCCAATTATTTGCAATATTTTCTTTCCTTATAAAGAAAGATGGTAAAGGAAGGTGGGAAGCAATTCAGTGGAGAATATGAAGTGATTATCCAACAGATATGTTAATAACATGATAAAAAACACAGTGTTACAGATAATAACTAGATCAATAACAAAAAGATATGAATAGTTAAAGCGAAATAATTAAATTAAGTTGACAGCAGGGAGAAATATCCTATCCTTCCTGGTGTCGACTTGCCTTTTCTTTCACCTGCCTTTGCCATCAGAATCTCTAATGGCTGTTCAGTTTTGCCAGCTTTTCATTCCAAACATCAATGTAATGGAAAAACCAACATTTATTCTGTAGCAGGAAAGTGCTGATTATTTGGCAATATCTGGTTGTAGAGCCACTGCCATGGAGAATGCAACTATACAAGAGTTGATTCCAACTGGTCAAGGCATTGCCCCAAGAAATAAACCAGAGAATGGCTGTCACGTACTTAACGGAATTGAAACAGACAGTGTGCACACACGTTCTTTTGTCTGCAAAAGGACAGGAGCCTGCGATGTAATATTATAAATTCCAAACAGAGTAGAACAACATCGCTTCATCGGAGGCTCCACTGATGATGTCACCTAGCATAGTGACAAAATGTCTGAATGAAAACAGCCACCTTGGCGAGCAAGTCAACAACCTCAGATTATCTGGTTATAGTGTTTGTTGGGATTTTCTATGCACATATTTACTATTGTGTTTCCTATATGGAAAAGCACTTAATTAACTGTAAAACATTCAGAGACATCCAGTAGTCATGAAATAAGACTTGCACTCATGCAGTGTTTTTTCTCATTCACGTATGTTAATAATTTAACTGCATCGCTTATGCGGGTTATACAAAATAAATATTACCTCTTTTGAAATTTCAAAGTGCTTCTCAGCAAAATGTACAGCTTGCTCATGATCTCCTAATGCAGTATAAGCATTTCCTAAACTCCAACAAGCTCTCCCTTCACCAACCCTAAAATGCAAAAGAGCAGAGTTACACACACACACACACACACACACACACACACACACACACACACACACACTGTATATATAAAGTCACTTTGCAAAAAGTGGAATGTATATCTAACATGTGTATTTTTAGATAAACTAAAAAAAGTGCTATAATGAAACCAAGGAGCACATTCATTTTAAAACTTTGTTTGCTACTAATGCTTCACTGTATGTGGGGTGAGGAGATTGAGTCAGTACTTTGCATAAATGCTAGATTTCAATTATTGGGCCACATATTGATAACATTAGTTGGTAAAAATTAACTAGGTACGCTTTTCAAAATAAGACATGAGATTTTTGGTGCAGATCTTATAATAGCCATGCAGAGTCTTTTAATTAAGATATTTTAAAAATGTAAAAATCTGATCTAAAGATTTCAGAAAACCTGAGAACAATGTAGAACTTCAAAAGGACATAGAGGAGTTGGAGGAATGAGTAAATAAATACCAGATGAAGCTCAATGCAAAGAGGTGTCAGTTAATGCATTTTTGTAGTAAGATCATGAACAAAAAAAAAAATACAAAACAAGGATATAAATTCTAAACAGGGTGAAAGAGCAGAGGAACCTTGGAGTATATGCACACAGATAAGTGAAGGAGGCAGGACAGGTAGAGAGTGCAGTTAATTAAGCGTACTGTATCCTTAGCTTTATTAATAGGGTCATAGAATACAATAACAAGGAAATGATGCTGAAAATGTAAAAGACATTTATTGGACTTCAACTGGAATACTGTACACAGTTCTGGATGCCACATTAGAGGAAGGATGCAAACACATTGGGAAAAGTGCAGAAGAGATTTACAAGAGCTGTTTCTACATATGAGAAATGTACATAAGGATAGATGGGAGAAGTTGGGATTGCTCTTCTTGAGGAGAAAAAGGCTGAGAGATGATCTGACAGAAGTTTGCAAAATCATGAGGGAGCTGGATATAGAAGGAAGGGAGAAACTGTTCCCACTGGTAAAAAGCACAAGAATGAGAATGCACAGATTTAAACTGATTTACAAAAGTAGCAAGTGTAGTGAGAGAGATTCTTTTCCCCCCACATAAGTGGCTTAGGTTTGGAAGTGTAGTGCCCAAATGTGAAGTGGAGACAGGTTCAACTGAAGCATTCAAGGTGGCATTGAATGAATATCTGAATAGAAACAAATGTGCAAGGGTGTGAAGAAAAAACAGGATATAGGCACTAATGCACGATGTTCATTTGTAGGCACAATGCAGATACAATAGGCCAAATGGACTCCTGTGCCGTAACACTTCTGTGATTCAGTCACTGGTACGAACTTGCTCAGAATTTATTGCAGCATATCAAATGAACAATAACCACCATTCTTGCTCATGGCCATTTAATTCCCACGATATTTTGCAAAATAGAAATAGTGCAGTGCCCTTGCTTAGGAAACCGAAATGGTACTTGCACTGTTCAATCTCCTTAACCAGACTGAAGGAATGTTTACTTATAAACATGATTAATCAAGTTCATGAATGCAATGTGGAGGGAAAGGAAATGAAGAGGAAAGGAAAGGATAGGAATGAAGGAAGAAAGGGAAAGAAACAAAAAGGTTAGAAGGGCAAACCTACTACAATTAAAGCCTAAAAAGAAAAAAAAAGAAACAAACAGTGAGACCACACGTTCAATACCTAACTTTCAGTATGATTGACTGGCAAAATTGACTGTTTACCACATTAAGAAGGCAACAACACTCAGTCAGCCGGAAAAAAAAACGTTAAGACACAGAAATAAAGCATTCACCCATCATTCACCTGTCTGAATGAATATTAAAGCTTATCTAGCTATTCGTCCTTAGACATTCAGGATTTTTCTAAGATAATGAAGAGAATGAAAAACAGTTTTGACAGACAAAAAACAAAACTTGCACAGCTCAAATGATAAAAGTTACATTTTCAATTTTTTTTTTTTTTTTTTAAAAAAATCCTATTTTCTAACCATCCTGTTCAGAAATGTTATTACACACTTCTGGAGCAGGTGTGATTTGAACCCAGGTCTCTTGGTTTAGGGACACGCACCACAAGAGGATCCTTGAAAGTTAGATTTTCATACTTAACCTAGCAATTGCCCTCACCTGAAGCTGCAATAACAATAAGCATCATTAGCTTCACCACTATTTCCTCTAGAATAAAACAAAGACTGCAAATGTTCGGAGATCTGAAACAAAACAGACGTGCTGCGTTCTGAAAAAGTGTCACCAGACTTGAAACATTAACTCTGCTTCCTTCTCACACTTGCTGCCAGATGTGCTGAGTTTTACCAGCAATTTCTGTTTTTATTTTGTTATTTCTTGTAAGCTGGCTTTCTTCAGATAGCTAAACATTATTCTTGTAATGAACGCCTGTCAGCCTAAACTTCTATAAGGATGCTTGCAAATTAAAATGTAGTACTGCAATGAACTTTTCTTCATATACCGGAATATATTTATGATGTGGACTAAGATCTGGGGTCATAGACACTAAATGATGCTTAGAGATTAAAGCAATTAAATATAATTTTACCTATCTGCAAGTTCTTGTGCTATAATAAGATGTTTTAAGTGATATTCAGTGGCCTTTTTGTAGTCTTGAAGAAGAGTATAAGTGTTTCCAAGGCTGTAACAAGCTTGTGCTTCAACAGCCCTGTCCTTTAGCTGTCGAGCAAGAAGTAATGTTCTCCTGAATGAATATCAGTAAAGCATAAAAGTTAAAACATTTTAAAACAAACATTTTGAAATGTTACACAACATTGAAATATTTTGTTCTATTTCAAAAGAAACAGGAACTGACAGGCTGTTAGCCTCTCTCAAGATCACATGCATTAAAACATATCTAGTTACCATGGTTATGTGTTGATTGCACCTATGGTGTGGCACCAACACGCACAAAACAACTTTAAATCTGGGCATTTTTTTTTTTTTAAAAACATTGGCCTGCATATAGCTAACTGACTAGGCCATGGCAATTTAAGCAGCCATTCAAATTGGCCCTTGCATTGCCAGTTTGGAGAGAGAGGACAAAAAAATTCCTGCAAATACTCATTTGTGGATTATGCACAAGTGAATTTTAAATCAGGTACCAGACCATACAAACTGAATTTCTTGTGGTAGGGTATGGGTTTGATCATTGAACTATGCAGAGCAAATGGACCTCAAACGAAAGCAACAAAACAGTCATTCAAATTAACTATGACATCACAATGTGGACAATGTCTCATTGGTCCGAGTTTACATATGAACAGCCATTTCAGTGAGGTCAAAACTCTGCAAAATTGGTGAAATCATGGCTTTCAAACAAAATTTTCTCATGGTCTTTAACTACTTGATTTCAAAACAAAGACAAAAGGTTTTCATATGCAAATAATGCTCACTTGTAATATTCAGCTGCTATTTCAAATTCACCAAGAAACACAAAGGCATTTCCCAGATTGCTACTCGCTCTCCTTTCAGCTGATTTGTCTCCGAACTCCTTTGCAATTTCTAAGCGCTTAAAAAGCATAAAGTGGGTTAAAAATCAAGCAGAATATCAAAAGTCAGGTTCAATATTTAGACAGCTGTAATGTACATTGCACAGTAAGCTGAACTTCCAGGTTACAGTTTTATTTACTGCAAGATTTTATATGTTTGACATTGAGCAAAAACATAGCACCTGTAAAACTAAATTCAAGGCATCTAGCTGCTTGAGGAGAGCAGTCTATATACAATCACATTTCAGTTAAAATTTCACAAGATTAAAGCAGCAAAACATATATAGTGTAAAAGCACAATTTAAACACAAAACCACTAACTATAAATATCCACTTATGGTTTGATAGCATCATCCCTTCTTCAAGTTCATAGCTTGAGATTTTCATAAATTGACTTTGACAGACGTTCATATTTAAAAGGAATGGCATGAATTGCACTTACACAACTTCTTCAGAGAACTCTACACAGTATAAAATCAGTCACTAGGCAAGACCAATAGAAGAAAAAAAAAACACTTTCTCCGGCAGTTTAAAAACAAGGTTTTTAAAAATGGCAACAATTTAATATGTAGAATAATATACTTCAAAGCCACAGGTCAAGCAAAGATAAACACAATATGCAAAACTACCTGTCAGCATCTGTAGAAGCATTGTGAAATGTAACAGAAGACATCAGCAAGCAAAAGCAAAAATGAATAAGATTTACAAGCACACTTTAAGAGTTTATGCCTTAAAGGTAGTTACAGCAAGATCTAATCCTTCCAATCCACGCCTATAGTAAGTTAATAAAGAAGTAACACAGAGGCTACACTTTCCAACATGGCACAAATCCAGGAAAATCCAGGATTATTGTGTCCTGCCTTCTAACTATAGAGAACATTAAAAATATATGCAATTTTAATAAATTTGCATCTCCACGTAAATATTGTGAAATTAAGGTTGTGTTAAAAATAAACGTTTGCTATTTCGTACCTCTTTGTGGGATTCCACTGCTTTTCTGAAGTTCCCCAAAAGATAATGTGTATTTCCTAGATTTCCATAGGCACGTCCCTGAGCTGCTCGGTCTCCCAGTTCCTTAACAATTGCTAAATTTGCCCTATGAATAAAATTACTACAAGTAAATAGAACTGATCTGTGATGTTTATTTTAGAATTTAACAAAGGATTAACTGAGTTAAGAATTATAATATAGTTGATAATGATCACTGCTCACAGCTAAGTCTATGCAAACCCTTTGTGAAAGTCAGGAGTACCAGAATCAAATCTGCACAATTATCACTTAAAAAGTAGAAAATTGGAGCTTATGAGTTCAATGTAAGACTATGTTCTTTTTTTACAAAAAAAAAGGGTATTTTTGTATGAAATACGTGCACACAGTCTCACAGACCAGCATCCCCATTCCTAACTGCAGGCAAGTTACAATAAACGGATAACTCACTCAGAACGAGCACAGAACAACAGCCTAAATTGTTTCTTTATCTACTTTAAAGTTTAATATTCTATTGAAGGAAACTACTCACTCATAGTAGTCTGAAGCTTTTTGTAAAACCACAATCACCTCTTCTGGAAAGTCACCTGGATTCTGAGTCTCTGCGCAAGCCAGACTTTTTCCTTTAGCATGGTATGCATTACCAAGGTTGTAAAGTGCTCTTGCTTCACCTACCTGTTTTTATAAACACCATATCAAAAAACAAATCATAGGAAGAAAACAAATTACTCAAAAGAAATTACTCGAAATAAAAATCAGTAGTTGTGAATCATTTCTTCAAATTCTAAATCAGAGTTAACATTCGAACAAGTTAGTGGTTTTATTTTCAAATTCTATGATTTCTTGTATAAGCTTCCATAATGTAAAGGACTTGAAAAGCTTCTATAGCTATGGAGAAAGGAAACATTTGGCCAAAATGAATGTGCGCCCATTACAAACAGTCAGGAAGATTCATGATCAGGAACAGAGAAATGAGAGAAGCTAAACGATTTTCTTTTTTGTCTGTTTTCACTGAGGAAGATGCAAGAAATCTCCCAGAACTAGAGATCAGGTGGCTATGGAGAATGTGGAGTTAAAGGAAATCAGCCTTAAGAAAATTGTAATGGAGAAATTAATGAGGCTGAAAGTTAGTAAATTCCAAGGACTGCCTAGTCTACATCCCAGAGTGCTGAAGGAGATGGTGTGAAAAATAGGCAGTCAATGCATTGGTGGTGATATTCCGAAATTTTATAGATTCTGGAATAATTCCTGTGGATTAGAAGGTAGCAAATGTCATCCCACTATTTAAGAAGGCAGCGAGAGGCAAAATGGGGAACTACTGACCTCTTACCTTTTTATCAGTAGTAGGGAAAACATTACAACTATTATAAAGGATGGGATTAATTAGGCACCTGAATGATAATGATCTGGTTAGGCATCATCAGTCAGGATTTGTGAATGGAAAATCACGTTTGACAAACTTGCTGGAGTTTATAAAGGGAAACCAGTTGATGTGGTATGGTTACATCATCAGAAGGCTTTTGATAAAGTCCTCCATCGGAGGCTGGTTAGAAAAGTCAAAATAAATGAAATAGAAGGTATGTACTGGCAGGGATTAATGGTGAGTTAACAGATAGCAAATACAGAGTAGGAATAAATAGGTCATCCTCACATTGATATGCTCAGACTGGTGGTGTACTACAAGGATCAATACTTGGTCCCCAGCTGTTCACAATATTTTCAATGATTTGGAGGTGGAGACCAAATGTAATATTTCCAGATTTGAGAAAGATACAAAGCTAATTAGGAACATGTGATGAAAGGAAGATGTGAAGCAGTTCCAGTAGAAACATCCACTTTCCTGCTCCTCTGATGCTGCCTGACCTGTATTCCTCCAGCTCCATACAGTATCAATACTGGAAGACCAGCATCCCCATTCCTAACTGTGTTCAAGAATGTCACGGCAAGTCACCTTCTTGAAGTGTAGTCTTTGGTGCTTCCATACATCTGCAGTGCTGCTGGGGAGGGAGTTCCAAGATTTTGATCCACTGACAGTGAAAGAACACTAATATGCTTATTGAAGAGCTACGAGACAGACAGTAAGTAGAACAGACATGTGCTCAAACTGTCAAGATGGAACTAGTGGGCTTCCCAGGAATTTGTACTGGGGAAGGATGCCCCACGAGGGGAAAATCAATCTAGAAAGAAAGGGTAAGGGGGGAAAGAGAGGGGGGTAAAGAATATATGATGTAATATATTTACACAAGGAGAAGAGCTAGCAGATTTAAAACAGATGAGGAGGAATTAATCTTGGAATTCACTAACCCAAGTATGATGGATGCTAGGACACTGAACAAACTTGAGGCAGTAGACGGAATTTTTAAATAGTAATGGGTTGAAGGGTTATGAAAACTGAGCAGAAAAGTGAAGTTGAGGCGAAGTGGAGATCAGCCATGATCATATTGAATGGCAGAGCAGGCTTCAGAGGCTGACTTGCCTAAACCTACTTATGTTCAACTTTTTCATTCAAATTATAAAAGTTATATAGATGAAGGAACAGAGAATCATATATATCCAAGTTTGCTAAAGGCACTGAGTTGATACTGTAAGTAATTAGACAGTATTTAGTACGTGTAAAAGGCATAAAAAGTTGCAAAAGCTCAGCGATTGTTTTTCCCCACTCACTATATGCAACAGAAGCTATGGTCATCCACTTTACACCCTAGAAAGTGTGATTGAGAAAATAGTCTGATCTAAAAAGAGTCAAGAACTTCAAAGCAGGGAGATTGAGGAAAAAGAACTGAATTGCTAAAAGATAGTGTACAAGTACAAAAAGCCCCAACAATCTAATTAAGTAAAAGGTTGGCCTTTATCTGAAGGTGGCTAGGAATTATGCTACAGTTGTACAGTATTTTGGTTAAGTACCATCTGGAGTACTGAAGTCAGATTTTGGGCACACACTTCAGGAACAATATAATGACCTCAGAGACATACCTCACCATTTAGCAAAAATTATACTAGCACTAAAAAAGTTTAAATCAAGGGCATGTTGCACAGATTAGGCTTGTTATTGCTCGAGTATTAAAAAGGGTGATCTAAATTGATTTGTTCATATAGCAGATAGAGATGCTCTCTCTCTTCTGATGGAGAATCCAGAACAAGGGGCATGGCCTTAAAATTAGAGCTAGGATGGGATGATGTCAAGATGTACTCATTCATACTAAAGGGTAGTAGAAATCTGGACCTCTTCTCTACAATGCAGTGGAGATTAACAGATTTATGCTACATAAAGATTATAGTAGTACAAGTCAAGAGTGCTACATGAAGTTAAGATGCAGATCAAACATAATCTAAATTAACGGTCAAAAACATTCATGATACTAAAGACAAAGAGACAGGTTGAGAAGGAGAATCATTCATGGTAAGCGAAGCCAGCGCAGAGAATTTAATTCACACTGTTGGCATCATTCTGCATTGCAAATCAGCCATCCAGCCAACCAAGCTAACTGACCCCCCTAAACAATCAGGGTTCATATAAAAGTAATACTATGCAATACGCTAAAGCAATTGATCACAAAAAGCACAAAAAAATGGTAAGCGAGTGAATTGCTACCAAGCACAATGAATTCTTCCTAACTGTCACCTTATCACAGAGTTCTCGGGAAAGGTCTAGATGTCTTTGACAGCAAACAATTGCTTCATCAAAATGTCGTAAAACCTTGAAAGTATTGCCAAGATTACCACTGGCTTTAGCTTCTCCCAGTCGATCACCAATTGTTCTGAAAAATTAAGCAAGCAGTAATTTAAAACAACAAAAGGCCAAGTTTTCTGCATCAAATCCTTTGTTATTGACACTCCTTTATGCTTTCTAAACGCAAATGTGCTAATTATTCCCTTTGTTGTATACTTTTGATTTGTCAGCACACATTACTTTAAATGTTAGTTACAGATTTATTAAATAATCAACTTTCAGTTTGGAACTGATGCAATTTGTTAAACACATTTGATGTCCTTTCTGTTCTTCCTGCTTAAATGTCCTTGCCCAAGCTAAATAACATTGGTTGCTGCATCACTTATGCAGCACAGTTGCTGGAAATATGTACAACAATTCCTTTGGAATTCAACTAGATTCAAATAAAGACTGAAGTTTTGGGTGTAACCTTTTCTCTTTTGATATGTTGACCAGCTAATTATTTCCATTTATAAGTATAATTTAATATTTTGGACAAAATGGCTCATTCAGATTACAAAACTAAAACACTATTTGTTTAACTATGCTAGATATTGCAATCTTGTGGAAAAACGACATAGGCCTGAAAAAATTGCAAGCGCCATTTTTGATTTAATTCACTTCAGCAATAGAGGATTCAAAACTTGAAACCTGGTTGGGTTTTGTACAGTTTAAAGGTTTACAAACACAATATTGACTCAGAGCTTTCCAAGCTGAACAGTCATTAAAATGTTGACTCAAACATAAACCTCATTATGCATCAGATAAAAAGCATGATTTTAAACCTTCCCTTCTGGTGGAAACCTGCTGGGCAGGTAAAATTAGAGCAGTGACTTACCTAATTCAATCTTGCTGCTCCACCAAAGATATATTTTAAACATATCTTTCAAGCAGAAAAACTACTTGAAGGCACAATCACATTTTAAATAGGTGGTAAAGTTTTAACTCCCAGGTCTATGCAAGGAAAACATTGTGTGTATCTTGTCAGGCCAACATCAGAACTAAAAGAAGCCTAGAACACCAAGCAATTTTAATAGTTCTTTCCAGGGGGCCAACACGAGCAAGTGTAGTCCTCCAAACCTGCCCCCTAAGAAAACCTTGGGACACCTCAGCACTATTCTTTCCTTTCCTTCCTCAACTCATCAACTGCAATCTCCCCACTATCCGCCTCCTAACCAGCTACCTTGAAATGGTCCTTTAGGTTTCTGGCAGCAGCCTCTTACTGCATAAAATTCCACTTGCCTACAAACCACTGTCATAGCTACAGGGTTCAAATAGAAAATGGAAAATAAGCATGCAAATGAATCCGGAGAATTAAAATCTCCCAGACTCATCTTGTAAAATGCTGTATGTTTTGTTGTTTAACTTGGTTTCCACCTAGAACCAAAAAGAAAGCTAAATTTAAGTTGAAAGAATAGGCTAGATCAAATGTTTTATAGTTGACAGCAATATTTTAACATAGGATCTATTTGACCACTTGGTGCTTCAGTAATGTTAATGTTAAGTAGGTTTTAATTGAAATATGGTTGAACTTTTTTTAAAAATAATCAACAAAATTAAAGATGGAAAACATTGCATCTGATAGATAGGTGACAAAATTAAACTGATATTCTTACATAACAATTTTCACAAGAACGGTAAGGAAAGAAATTCCAGCAGAATGGCTTTAACATAACATCGCCCCCACCAAAAAAAAGCTGAAATGAGTGCAATAGTTTCATATACTGGAGATGCAAACAAGGGAAAATGCATGCTTACCTTGCGAGAGTCAAGTCATGATGGTGGTATTCCAGTGCTCTGGAATAATCATGCAAATAAAAGTAAGCATTTCCAAGCTGACTGTAGATGGCACTGAGGATTTTCAGGTCCTCTGTTCCAACCTGAACTGCAGCTTCAAAAAATGATACCCCGGCTCGACAGTCTCCTGTTTTACAGAGTCGTTCACCTTCTAAGGCCAATTCCAAGCAGGAAGCTTCCATTCTACAAAAATCACCATTAAAAGTAATCAATTCCATAACATGGCCACTTGAGAGATCACAAAATTGTTTCATGAAACAAGATGCATCAGCATAGCCATAGAGTGTAGGAACTTATCGTTTAATTGTTGTGTAAATCAGGAGATAAAAAGGCACATAAGAAAGGCACTTATTACAATAATCACAAGGTAGACTGGGAAAATAAGGTTGGTAATGGATCACAAGAAAAGGAATTTGTGAAGTGTCTGTGAGATGGTTTTTTGGAGCGGCTTCTGGTAGGGAACAGAGAAATGGCAGATGGACTGAATAGGTACTTTGCAACAGTTTTCACAGTGGAAGACACCAGCATACCAGGACTTCAAGAGGAGTCAGAGGACAGAGGAAAAGTGTAGTTGCCATCATCAAGGAGAAGGTGCTGAAGAAGCTGAAAGATATGGAAGTGGATAGATCACCCAGACCAAATGAACGATACCCCAGTGTTCTTGAGGAGATTGCAGAGGCATTGGTGGTGATCTTTCAAGAATCACTGGAGTCAGGGATGGTTCCAAGTGACTGGAAAATGGCTATTGTAACACCCCCATTTAAGAAGGGAGGGAGGCAAATGACAAAATTCTAAGCAGTTAGCCTGACCTCAGTCATTGGTAAAATTTTAAGAGTCCATTATTAAGGATGAGATTGCACAACATTTGGCAGTGCATGGTAAAATAGGGCTGAGCCAGCAGAGCTTGGTCAAAGGGAGTTAATGCCCAATAAAAAAAACCTGTTAGAATTCTTTGAGGTAACAAACAGGTTAGATAATGGAGAGCCAGTGGACATGATCTATTTGGATTTCCAGAAGGCCTTTGACAAGGTGCAACACAGGAAGCTGCTAAATAAGAACCCACTACATAACAGCCCATGGTGTTTGGGGCAAGGTGCTGGCATGGATAGAGGACTGACTGACTGGCAGAAGTCAGAGAGTGCGAATAAAGGGGTCTTTTTCAGGACAGTAGCCAATGAGTTCCATAGGAGTCCCTGTTGGGACCACAACCATTCATGTTATACATCAATGATCTGCACAAAAGTAGCTGAGAGTATTGTTTGCAGATTACACAAAGATAAATGGAAGTTCAAGCAGTGTTGAGAAAGAGGGGTAGCCTGCAGAAGGACTTAGAGAGGGTAGGAGGGTGGGCAAAAAAAAAACAAAACGGAAGTGGCAGATGGACTTCAATGTGGGAAAGTGTGAGGTTATGCACTTTGGTAGTAAGAATGGAGACATAGATTATTTTCTAAAAGGGGAAAGGCAGTTCTTGGGTTCCATTCTGGAGGCTGTTTGCAAGTTGATTTGTACACAAGTCGGAACACAATGCAAGACAATATAAAATAGCCGTTTGTGCTTACAAGGAGCCATGCGAATATTGGATCACATTCCTAAGTCTCAGAAATCACAGGGCACCAGGTTATTGTCCAATACGTTTATTTGAAATCACAAGCTTTCAGAGAGCTGTTCCTTCGTCAGGTGAAGACTTCAAATAAGTGATTTCAAATAAACCAGTTGGACTATAACCTGGTGTCGTGTGACTTCTGACCTTGCGCAACCCAGTCCAACACCAGCACCTCCACATCATTCTCAAGTCTGACATTAGTAAATCGGGGGCTTCCTATATATAATGATGTAGCCACGATTGTGGACCTGACCATTTTTGGATTGTAAAAATAAATTGCTACTGAAACACCTCCAAAACAAAAATCAGTGGAATTACGCTGTATATGGCACAATGCTATGGTCAGGTAGATGGACTTTTTCTGTCGAGGGCGACCAAGTGTGTAGATGAGGGCAATGCTTTTGATGCAAGTCTACTTGGACTTCAGCAAGGTTTTTGATAAAGGTCCCACATGGGATACGATAGCAAAGGGAAGAACCCATAGGATCCAAAGCAATTTGGCAAATTGGATTCACAACTGACTGAGTGGCAGGAAGCAGAGGGTGATTGTTCAGTGGTATTTTTCTGACCAGAAGTCTGTGTGCAGTTGGGTACCACAGGGGTCGGTGTGGATGCCCTCACTGTTTGTGGTTTATATAAGTGATTTAGACTTGAATGTAAATGAGTTTGCAAATGAAACAAAAATTGGTAGGATAATAAATTAAGTGAAGGATAGTGTTAGATTACATTGGGCTGGTCAGATGGGCTGAACAGTGGCAAATGGAATTCAATCCAGATAAATCCGAGGTGCTGCACTCAGGCAGTGCAAACAAAACAAACATGAAGAATGGTGGGACCCTGAAAAGCACCAAGGATGAGGGGCCTTGGTCTGCATGTACACCAGTCCCTTAAGGAATCAGGACAGGTAGATAAAGTGATTAAGAAAGCAGGTGGTACATTTGTCTTTATTAGCTGATGCTTAGAGTTTAAGAGCAGGCAGGTTATACTGGAACTGTACAAAATCTTGGTTAAGCTACAGCTAAGTATGGTGTGGAATCTATGTCATAGGAGGGATGTGATAGCACTGGTGAGGTTGCAGAGGAGATTTACCAGGATGTTGCCTGGACTGGAGAGTTTCAGTTATGACGAGATTAGAGATTGGCCGTATTAACAGCCAGCTCTAAAGGAATGGACAGGAAAGGTAAACATAATTCAAGTTTTGAGAACGTTATCATTTGGTTTCAGATAGTTTGTTTGGACAGGATACATCTAACTGGAGAAGCAGCTAAAAGTTTACTAATGCTTAAAAAACAAAAAAAAGGTAAGCTGTACTGTTTATATGACTAAACCCCAGGTTCCTGTACGTACTTTAGAATCTTTGTGGGCTAAAAATTGAGATTACAATGTTTTCTTCACTCCTTCCCATTGTTTCCAATGCAAGACAGGAAATCAGCACTGAAATGCATGCATTTCAGGAGGTTAACTGTGTAGTTGAAGCAGATGCTAGAACTTCGAGGAAGGGACAAGGATGCTGCACTGTTCACCTTCTAGAGGTGATAAAAGAGCTGGTCAGGGCAATGGGATCATTCTCCTTTAGGAGAAAGAGGCAACCACATGGCCTGAGACTGCTCTAACTCTCAATAAGACCATGGCCAATCTGATTATTCCATTACTCACCTAGGCTCCAACAATCTTTCACTCTCTTGCTCATCAGGATTCCATCTACCTCTGCCTTAAACATATTCAAAGGCTCTGCATCCACCACTTCGGCAGGAAGGGTTCCAAACACTTGAGCCTCTGACAAAAAAAAATCTCATCTATCTTTAAGTGGTTGACACTACATTTCTAAAACGGTAACCCACAGTTCTCGATTCTCCCATGGGGAAAAAGGGCTTCCAGATCCAGCCCTCAGGATGTTGTTTCAAACAAGAAATTGTTTATTCTTTTAAACACCAGTGGATGCAAGCCTAGCCTGTCCAACTTTCTCAAAAGACAATCATGAATTCCAGGTATTAGTCTAGCATAGTAAGAAAAGGATTTATAAACATTTAGAGAGGCAAAAAATAGATTAGAGATAGTCAGCATGATTTTTTGCAAGGAAAATCGTATCTTACAAACCCGATTAGAGATTTTTTGAGGAAGTTACCAAAAAGATTGAGGGCACAGGAGTCGACATTGTTTATTTGGACTTTAGTAAAGCGTTTGACAAGGTTTCATTTGGTGGTCTAATCAGAAAAGTTAGGTCACATGGGATTCAGGGTGAGCTTGCTAGTTGGATACATAATTGGCTTAACAAGCAGAGACAGTGGTGGTAGAAGGTTGCTTTTTGGACTGGAGGCCTGTCACCAATGATGTTCCACAGGGATCAGTTCTGGGTCCTCTTTTGTCTGTTATTTTATATAAATGAGTTGGATGAGCATATAGAAGGCATGGTTACTAAGTTTGTGGACAACACCAAAATTGGTGGCGTAGTAGACAGTGAAGGTGGTTTTCTAAAATTACAAAAGGGATCTTGATCCAATAGGTCAATAGACTGAAAAAATGGCAGATGGAGTTCAAATTGGATAAACTGAAGGTATTGCATTTTGGTACAACAAACAGGACTTATACAATTAATGGTGGGGCCTTGAGTATTGTTGTGGAATAGAGGGACCTATGGGATCAGGTGCATAATTCTTTGGCATTTGGATCACAAAAATATAGGGTGGTTAAAACAGCAATTAGCACGCTTGCCTTCATTGCGGAGTCCTTTGAGTATGGGAGTTGGGAAGTCAGGATAAGGTTGTACGGGACATTGGTGAGCCCTCTTCTGGGAATACTGTGTCCAGTTCTGGTTGGCTTGTTATAGGAAGGATTTTATTGAGCTAGAGAAGGCTCGGAATAGGTCTATCAGAAAGTTGTCGGGTATAGAAGGTTTGAGTTATAAAGAAAAGCTAGATAGGCTGGAACATTTTTCACTGGAGTGTAGGAGGTGGAGAGGTGACCTTGTAGAAGTTTATAAAGAACATGAGGGGTGTAGACAGGGTAAATGGTAGGTGTCTTTTCCCTAGGATGGGAGATTTCAAGACTAGGGGGCACATTTTTAGAGGTGAGAGGAATGAGATTTGAGAGAGACATGAGGGACAATTTAAAAAAAAACAAACAAACAGAGAGTGTGTGGAATGAACTTCCTGAGGAAGTGGTGGATGCAGGCAGAGTTATAACATTTAAAAGACACTTACACAAGAACACGAATTGGAAAGGTTTGGAGGGATACGGGTCAGGAGCAGGCAGGTGGGACTAGGTTAGTTTGGGATTATGTTCAGCATGGATTGGTTGGACCAAAGGGTCTGTTTCCATGCTGTATGATTCCATAAAAGAGATCCTCCATAATCTATATATCCTTCAAAGAAGCTTTGCAAAGGCAGTGCAACCAGATAGCCACAGCTGTTAGAGAGTCTGAATGCAATGCTACAAGTTCGACAATAGCACAAAAGTGAATTCAGCTTCAAATGCCATTGCCTACAAACTGCAACTCTCACCTCATACAATGCTGAAGATACCATATATTTCATTCACCTACAATCTCTACCAATTATCAATTTTTTAAGCTTACTTTTAA